AGCCCTATTGAGCAAAGCCCCAGTGGGGTGTAGGACCCAGAAAGGGGGTCTGGGGGCCAGGTAAGGCCGAAGCCGCCTGAGCCCCAATTGTGGGAAAGCCCCAGTGGGGCATAGGACCTGGAAAGGGGGTCCTGAGGGCCAGGTAAGGCCGAGGCCGCCTAAGCCCTATTGAGCAAGGCCCCAGTGTGGGCAGGAGCACGAGTAGAGCCCCCAGGGAGGGCATATGGGAATAAGAAGCCCCAGGGATGGCGCATGAGAGTAGAAGCCCCGGAGAGGGCAAGCGTACGGGGAGAGGCCCCGGAGAGGGCCGCCAAGAGAACACAGTAGACTTAACAACGTTCGGTACATCTGAGAGGCTTGGGGCGTGGTATTAGGGATGGCAGGAGCCATGCGTAGCCCTTGAGGCGGGAGTGCCCAGAATCACCATAGACAGGGCACAGGCCTGAGTACGTCAGGGATACCATGCCAAAGAGGACAAAAGGCAGCCTCCCTTAATATTCATACCATCAAAGACGTGGCAGGCGAGAATGAGGGTGCATTTTATACCAACTTGGCATGGTAGGGGGCGCCAGGAGAGAGCACGGCCGCTCCTGGGTCCCCGCCCTGTGACACCCCCAAAACCCAGTGCTTTACTTTAAGCTCAGCACAGTCTCATGCCAAGTCTAGCACATGCCTAGAAAAGGCAGTGTATTAGTTGGACCCAGCTTTCCTGACATCTGTATAGATTAGGCACTTTAGTGGGGCTTTTTGGACACTTATCTAATACGTGATTGAATCAGCTTTAGCTGAAAGTGCCAAAAAGCCCAATCTATACTGACACTGCAGAACTGGGTCGAAGGAACATGCCGCTTCCTCTGGTAAAGCGCGTTTTTGGTGGGGGGGGGTTAACATCTGCAAGCACTAATTTTTCTATGTTTCCATATGTATTAGAAATAACAGGATAATAAAACTGTTGTGTGAAACGGCACAATGAAGACTGGACTGATTTGTGCAACTGGACTGATTTTTGTATGAACACTGTAAAACTGAAAGCTGATGTCAACAACTCAAGATGCAAAGAAAATCAACTACTAAGTGCTACTGTTACAGTACTGTTCTTATGCCTGTGTCATTCTGTAGCAAGAGCTCACAATATGTCAAACCTACTTGATGAAGTAGTCTCTCCCATCTCTGTTTGCCGTCATCTCCCATCCATAGGGTGTCCCCTGATTCAAGCTCCAGGTTCCTGAAGGATGTGGCCAGCCTGAAGACTTGGTCCTGTGGCTGTAGCAAAAAATATAAGCATTCAGAAAGAAAAAGAGTATGACTTCTTCTCTCCTTATTTTACTGATATCCTTATACCAAAATAATTCTCCATGGCATCTGAGTACCATCAGCTTTATAAAATATCCCCCAAAACAATCTCCAGGTTAAAAGTTGCTGTTAGTTTTGATCTCAGTCATAATTTGTTTTCTAGCAGTTATGGAGGACTGTGATTTAGTCCTGCATATCTGTGTAACAGCTCTGACACCAGGTCATTTAATAAAGGGAATGATACATGTCCACAGATGCCAAGCTTGTATAATATACATTTCTTATATACCACACCATATCTAAAAGGAGGGGGAGCAGTTCCATTTCTTGTTAAATCCTCTGTTCAAATATAAGACTCGTAACACTTCATTTTTAGTCATAAATCCTTGCTGTAAACCATGTGTATTTAAATGTACTGAATGACACAGGAAGGTGTAGCAATGCCCAGGAGCCCACCATAAATGCTCCTGTTACCATTAACTGCTTCTTATATGATAATGAAGAAGAACCCCAACAGTAGGTATAGAGATCCTGTATTAATTCAGTATAAATGTGTATTTAAAGCCACTTATCCATTACCTGTCCTCCAAATCACTTCTTTAAGTTCAGTTTTTTAGTTTATCATTCTGCTATTGACCTCTGCTTGAGTATTCACCACTGCTACTCCCACACTCTTATCATAGACTAACTTATGCTATCCTTAAAAAAACCCTGTTAGAGGAATATATTCAGATCATGAAACTATGGGAGGCTCATCCACATTTTCAATTAATGGTGTTGTTGAATGCATGACCTCCCAATGCCACATATCCTAAGGATCTATTAAGCAGGAAGCTCAAAACCCAATGGAGAATTACTGCCTTTCTACTGATCCTTTGCACTCATTAACAGGAGTTAAGCTGCTAGTTACCAGATACACCAGCTCCTGTGTATAAAACCCGCCTCACTCAGAGATTTATAGGAGCAAAAATATTACTCCAGTTTACATTACAAGGTTCTGCAAGTTGATTAGGGGTGTGAGAAGATCATACCCTGTAGCTCTGCCACAAAATCTCTAATATGTGGACTCAACTTTGCTGGCTGAAGAAGTCTCCTGCTATTTGGTTTGACTGCACTGATTGAAAATCTTTTGCCAACAGAGACTGTATCTATACCAGGGGGGCTCTGCCACACCACAATTAAAACAGCAGTAGCTTTGCTTCCAGCATAGTTAACTGAGGCAAGTAGAGTGTAAAAGAAACCAGAGAAAGGGAAATGGGATTAAAAGAAATGTTGACAGGGCTTCCAAAGGGTCCTCCACACCAGAAGAAGGTGGGACAATAAGTTCCCTTTATTAAAAAAAGAAGAAGTTTAAAAAAAAAATATGAGAACTTGATTGCTACATCCAATTCATACGTGCCAACAAAAATAAGAACACACACATCTAAGCGCTCATATAGTCATTTGCCACCCCTGGTCTACATTCACATAGTTCACTAAGATGTATAAACATAGACTGAGAGCATCATGTATAGGTGTCTACCAGTCCTGGGAGCTGCAAAGGGAAACCGGAGTAAATAACTCAGGGTGGGAGGGGGTGGGTCGGAGCAAAGGGAGCTAGCCAGTCTGTGGTAGGGGTGAAAGGAGTTTGCAGGGCAGGTGGTGGAGAATCTGCAGGGGGGGTTGTACATCCAGGGGTGGGGAGGTTAGAAGGCTAAAAATAGCCTGGTCAGAGTTGGAGGAAGGGTAAGAAGAGCACAGCCCTGGGGCTGGGGTGGGCAAAATGCAGCCCGGGGGCCAGATGCTGCCCACCAGGCCATTCTATCCGGCCCGCGGGGCCCCTAAAAAATTTAGAAAATGAATATTTATCTGCCCCTGGCTGCCTATTATGCAACCCTCGATGGCTTGCCAAAACTCAGTAAGCGGCCCTCCACCCGAAATAATTGCCTGCCCCTGGCCTAGGTGACTGGCTTGGCTTTCGCAGTCCCAGGGCTGTGCTCTAAACATATACTGGTGACAGACTGGGCTAACCCATTCCTGATGTAAATAAGTTCATCTCCTCAGGTGAACTAACTTAGATCAGGCCCCCATTTTTTGCCTGATTTAACCACCCTGATTGTCTATACGATACCCATTAGATCAACCAAACCCTAGTTAGGCTGATCTAAATGTAACTTCTATATGTATCCTAAAAAACTTTTTCACCTCGATCCCTTCCCTATCTCCCCTTCCTTTTTCTACCTACAGACCATAATAGTTTTACTCATTTTATTTACATGAAGTAGAATGTAAGCAGGGACCTTATCTTATATCTGTCAAGCATCATGCATACCAATGATGCTGGGTAATTAATAAATAAAACAGACAGACAGATACAGATACATTTCCTCAAGACAAACACAAACTAAAATGTAACTTGGTGATCACTCTTTAAAAAGAAGAAAATGGTCTCCAGGAATACCCCAGCAACTTCTTAAGTCTACAAAGTTGTACATAATCTTTCCCCAAGGGAGTCTGCACCATTAAAACAAACAGATTAAATTCTATATTTTTGTTCTCACTTTTGATGTTTCAAGCTTTAATCGCTAATAAGGAAAGATACGGAATTTCAAAATGTTATTCTCTGCTTTATGTTTTATGCGTATATTCTAATGGAGTGTTTGAGATCACCTGAATTTATTACAAATTATACTAATGACTTTATGTTTACAATGTAGAAAAACATTTCTGTTAAGTATATCTAAACAAAGGCATTTGCCATAAACTGGACTTAATTTTAATATTTGATAATATTGGAAATATTGGTGTTGTTATTAATATAATGATATTCAGTGATAATAATCATCACCATCACAATAATAATAATAACAACAACAATAATAATAATAATCTTATTCTGTCTGTTCAGAACACTCTGATTGGTTGTCTCAGCAGCCAATCACAATGCTTACTGAAACAACCAGAATGCTCTGGACAGACAGAATAAGCCTATTATTATTATTATTATAGATCCTGAGACATTTCAAACAGATACACAGGCAAGTCAGAGCTAGAATGAAGCACTGCCCCCCCACCAAACCTGCCTACTTCTCACATGGCTGGGGGGCAAGCTGCCAGCAGGCCCTGAGCTGTGGGGGGCCCTGGTGCTTCCCTCTGTGGCAGGGGCAGTATGATTACTGCACAGGGGTGCCGCTGGTGCAGAGGGAAGCACTGGGGTTTCCCATAGCTCAGGGGCTATGTGACCTGCTGACAGCTCACTCCCCAGCCACAGGAGGCACACATAGGCTCTGAGAGGAAAAAGAGATTAGACAACTAGGCCCCTCACCACTTTTTTCCACCCCCCTTTGGCAGAGCCTGCCTACAAGAGCTGCCGCCATGTTATACAGCCCCTGAGCTGCAAGGGGTCCGGTGCTTCCTTCTGCAGTGGCTGTGCCCCTCAGGGCCACCCAAGAGGGGTGCTACCTGCATGGGTGCAGCCTCAGCTTGCAGGCAGCACCTGCTGGATCCAACAGTGCATGGAGCACTGGAAGCCCGGGTGCGCTCAGGGAAGCTCAGCCTTAGCCGGCTTCCAGCACCCCATGCACAATCCCCGCCACCTTCCCGTCACCTCACATGACCCAGATACGGGCTTGCTGTCTTGGGAAGGTGGCAGGAGGGCAGCTGGGTGTGCTGGCAGCCAGAGAAGGAAGTGGGGAAGGTACACGGGGCACTGGAAGCCTGCCAAGCCCTAGCATCCCTGCCACCTTCTCCTAATAGGGCCCTTGTGGGGAATATCACTGTAATTTGTTACAAAGCAAACTAAAATGCATGGGATGTGTTTTAGTCTGCTGCATAAAAAGTCATTTAAATTGAAATACACTGCCAAACGTATATACTGTTACGCCATTTCATCATAACATGCTGTCAAACATGTACACTGTTAAGCAATTAAATCATTAAAAAAAGACAATTAACCCACTAAAAGGGGCAGTTTTCCATGATTAAAATGAAACACCATTACATATATGTATGTATGTATGTATGTATGTTTTAATGGCATTTCATTTTAATAACAGAAAAATGTAGATTTTGGGTTACTTTTTTAAATCTGAAAATTGGGGATTTTTATTTTTTATCAGAGAAAACCAGGATCCCTGGTCATTAGAATAAAATATTAAAGAACAGGTAAAAACAAAAAAAACCCCCTATTCTGGATTGTATTTCCTTGTTTCATTGTATTTCAATGTATAATTTTAAGATCAGCAAGAGAAAATATCTTTTATCTTTGTTGAGAGACAGAGATATCACAACAATGTTAAAATTTTATAGTTCAATATTTTCACCAATGAACAACTGGTCACAATACTATGCTCACTGATTTGGTATGTTTGAAACTGCCTGCCAGCCAGCTTTTTGATTCACAAGTGACTCGATTTCTTAATTCTAACCAAGTAAGTTATAAAAGTTGTAAAGAAACAGGAGTAAACTTGCTTCTTCATTGCATTTAAAAGAGGTAGTAAACCTAAGCTAGTTTTCCAATCCTAGATACCTACATGTAGCCATGTAAATCCACATTCAGGTAGCTAAATAATAAAACAGCTCTTTTAAAAATGTTTTCCAGTTATTCAAAGAAGTCAGATCCTGTTCCACCTTTTGGACCCCTATATGCATTCCTATGCTGTCCTTATGTTAATATTTTATACTGTTTAATTATTTTACAAGTTGATAACAGCAAATTGGGACAATAAATTATAATGGATTTATAAAATACTACATGCATCTATATACGATGCTATGGTGTTGTATTGTCCATTGGCAAAAACTGTGATGCTACTGCTACATCACCATGGCAACGTGCTCCAAAAAATAACCATGTATAGCCAGGACAGCGCAGTACGGGACATTAGTGAGCCATCCTTTAGGAAGTACTAAACGACAGCAAAGTAACAAAGGTGCTATATGGCCCTGTGTACACATGCCCACTAATAAGGATCTCAAATACAACTGTTTGC